GGCAGATTTTTGGTCAAATTTTAAGGGTTTAAACCTCAAACTTAACCGTTTTCCTTTGTGTGCTGTATCTGGAAAAGGCCAAAGTATTTTGGTAAGTTCTCGTTTCCTACTATTTCTCTTTTGCTTACCCTGTGTGAATATATATATTTTCGTTTCAGGCCTTTTTGTTTTTCCTCTTATTCTTTTCGTGTTACACTGCTACTGTTGTCTTCACCCTTCATCGAATGCTTGGCATCTCCTTCGACAATCTTAAGTACTGATTGCCCACCAACCACCTCAGAACTCAAGAGGACCTAAATCTCCCCATTACCTGCCAACCAGAAAGATTTTGAAGGTTTCCAGACCTCACTCCAAGTCAGAAGTCATCCTGGTCTCTGTAGGACTGGTAACCAATACGTATTTGAGGATTCAATCTGTAAGTCAGTCTGATCACTTGTGTGTGTTGTCCTGGGTCCTGAAATTATATGGTTACACTCCAGCTGAGATAAAGAGTGACGTTCTGTAGCCAAAATATAAACTTACGTCAGTTTCGCGACGTAGCACTGTTCAGCGAAGCAAGGGCTAAGAAATTCCATAGCTGGATAGAGGCCTACAATAACCTTTAAGAAATTTGTTGTTTTATTTTTGCCTATTACAAGTATTACCTGATTTATCCATCCTTGTATAACTTTGCACTTTAAGTACACTACTTTACGCCTAATTTAACATCGGGATAACTGTACACCGGGAAAATAGGCCTATTTCGAGGGTAAACGACTATTGATTTGTACATTGATTTTTGAGATCTTTAATGACTAAAATAAGGTTATAAATGTTTAATAAAATGGTAGGTATAGTATGGTTTTAAGGCAATAGAATAGGTAGTATTTTTAATAATTTACTGATAAATATTGCACCTTTTTTTTTGGTATATTGTATACTTTGCATTTTTGGAAGAAAGTATATAAACCATATCAGAGAATATTTGATTTCGATTATTTTCATTTCTTGTCCCTTTTACAGCTGACTTTGACTGAATTTGCGACTCGACGAGTCCTCGCATGCTAATAGGTGATTTCACTTATTGATGCCCTGCTTTTTGTTCTCCTTGCTTTCCTGTGTTGATTTAATTACTTTGTATGTTCTAGGCTGTTTCCTGTTTTATTATTTTTCGCATTCAGGAACCAATTTACTTTAGGGCTGAAAACAGGTGGCGCTTTTAGTTTTGACCCAGACCACTCTACCTTTAATCTGGCTAGTCGGAGCTGCCCTACAAGTTGGTTTCCTTTCGGCCACCTTCAGGAGTTTTATCATCCCCTCCATTCTTTCACCCCTTTCCCTTCTTCAACTCTTTCTTCTTTTCTTCTTTCTCCCCCTTTTGCAATAATCGCTCACGCAACAAACCGTGCGTTCGTTATTTTGGTCTGAGTTCTCCGAGCTTGACTTTACCGTTCGTTTATTTAAAAAGTGTACTCGGTGTATCCTTATTCGCGTTCGTTTATTAAAATTTCCGGCACTTTTATACAGCGTTCAACTGCTCTGTTCGCTCGCTGGTCACGTGATTACGGCTCCGCTCAGCACGCTCTGCTCTTCGAGCAAAATACCGAACGCAAGGAAAGAGGCAATCTCATCACTCTTCATGTAACAATGTTCATAAACGCACTTGTAATGTAAATAACTATTATTTATGTTTAAATGAACAAATTTCAGAGCGGTATTGAAAAGATCTTAGTAGGTATATGGAAAAAGTTCTGACTGTAATTAGTGACTAGACGCGTCATGATGCAATTCGGACCATAGTTCTATGCACAGGTTGGAAAAAAGCGCTGTCTCTGCCAGGTTATTTTTTCAGGAACCAGAAATCCAATTTTTGTCGGAATTTCAGGCGAGTTGATAATGCTCTGCAGAATTTTGTAGAGAAAAATGAGCTGGGATGAGCTGAAGACGAGTCTCATACTCAAGGTTCTGGTAAGGAAATCTCAGTTTGTAGAGCAGGTATTTTGCAAATCTATTTTGTACTCGTTCGTGGCATACGTAACTTGGAGTCCAAATTGGGTTGCAGTATTCAAATATGGATTGAATGAGACCTTAACATAAACAGATAATGGACTTCGTATCATATACATATGTCTCTGTTGTTTCGTTTGATGAAACCTAGAAGTCTGGATCTTTTCATGACTATGCTGTCGATGTGTTGAAAGACAGGTATTTTTCAAAGGTGACTCCTAGGTTTCTGAAGGAGTCGACTGTTTCCAGATTGGCGTTTTTGATGTTGTATGTGGACAGTATAGGATTTATGTTGTGAAAAAGCATGTGTTCGCACTTAGTAACATTCAGTTTAAAAAAAATTGAGTTGCATCAAGCGACATTGGATGTACGTCATTTATAGAAAGAACAAACAGAATCGGTCCGTTAGTGCGATACTTGAGGAACCCCGTATGAAACTATGATCTCATGAAATACTGCATCGCACACAACAACTCTTTGAGATCTTTCTGTTGAGTATGATTCTATAAATTTTCAGAAACGTGCACCGAAGCCCATATCTGAGAGTTTTTTTAGTAACAACTTAGCACACACTATCAAATGCCTTCGAAATGTCCGTAAAGATCATACCGACCTGTTTTTCAAAGATTTCATTAGAAACTGTTGGTAGACAACAAGATTTGTAGAAGCAGAAACCGTGCTATTCGTTAGCAATGTAGTTACCAAAGCATGAATATGAACATCGTCTGTTAGAATGGTTTCCATAATTTTAGGAATATGAGATAGTGGAGCTATGCCTCTCTAATTATTCAGATCAAAGCTACCTCCTGATTTGTGGATAGGAAAGTGTTGAGATTTTCCAAATTCTGGGAAAAATGCCAGTATCCAAAAAATGTTAGAAAATATGCTTTAAAGGTTCTATTAGAGATGTACAACAGCCTTTAAGAAACCCTGGGGAAAGACCATCCGGTCCAGGAATCTTTGAGGCATCGAGAATCAGAATTTTTCTCTATATTTCCTCGACCTAATTACTGAATCGTAATCTTTATTTAATGGCAAACTTTATCGGAGTCATCAATCTTTGAGCCAACACTTTCTAATTCCCTATCAAGGTAAAGTTTATACGAAGTTACTTCGACCAGGCCTAAAATAGTGGTATGGTCAAGATACTGCATCACATATTGAAAAATATAGCAAAATTTATACAGATTGTTTCTCGTATCATTGGAAGTCAGACAAGTAGGGATGGATAGATCTGATTGGCTCCTTGTACACGTTCGATGCCAGTCAGCGTGGACTCTATAGATCTGATTAGCCATTGCCGATTTTTGACTTGCCGACATACTGTTTCTGTTCATTCCGCTTTGTGGCGCGATATGATTGTCGGTGTGAGAAACAGTGCAGTGCATAACCTACTCTAGTTGGTTCGATTAGTTTATTGATTATGAATTTTAGTAGTGCCTCTTGAAATTACGCCGCCCATGTTCAATAAAGAAAAATCCGACTTATGCCGGGATTTTGTTTTTATGCTAATCCAAACGACTTCGTATAGACTTTAACACTATAAAATGTCATAAGTAGATCTTTATGTTTGACATTTCTTCCCGGTTTCATAGTTGAAAGCCTTTTCTTTAAAGTTAACTAACCCAAACATTTAAACATAAGTTTAGCGGTGGTTGCATCTTTAATAATTATGTAAAGATGTTTATCAGAGACAGTTTTATCTATCCAACCATTACCCATTTGGCTTTGGATCCATTATTTTTCAATTCAGATTTTTCCTTTTCTGTTAAACACTCAGAAAATTCTTTTTCCAGGGCATTTACCAGCTGTTCCTTTTAGTAGGTCTTTGATGCTAAACTTCCAGCAGTTGTCAAAATTCAATTGCGGAAACATCGTGTATTCATTTGTTGTTGTAGGTTCTCTACTTTCAAAAAGATCTTGCTGAGGGTCTTGCCATCAATCCCTAAAAAAGTCATTTAGAACTCTTTTAATTTTCAATTACTGTACAACCATAAGGCGATCTGGGCCCATAACCTCTTGGAATTATTAATTGCAGTGTATTAAAACGACACTGTTCCTAGCTTTAAACTCCATATTCATCTGTACTTGTTTGTTCAGTTTGTTTTTTACTTTCATAATATTTATTTTTCTATGTCTGTTTATTTCTATTCCATGAGAAATTCCTGAAAATATTTTCATATCATGGTATTGACTATCTCAATTTTCTATTCCATTCATTAGCTTTTACTTTTATTTTTCTGTCATGTCAGCAAACAAACTTTCATTACTTTTAACGCTTCAATGCTGTCTTTTAGCACAACCACTTTGTCCTTTGCACACCCACACATATAGGTACCTACATAAAAATCCTGGCCAAATCACAAAATAAGGAAAATTTTTCAACTGTAATATTCATATTCGTGAATTTAAATATGAATATGAACTTCCGCTACATTGTTTCCGACAATAAAATAAATAAAACATTTACCAACATAATGCTCGGCTCGCTATCTGTTTGTATTTAGTAAGTATAAATTATATTGTTGGTGCATTATCATGCGGAAAAGGCAAACTGGATTAGGCCAAGGTTGCCGCAGAGGGCACTAAATATTTATTCCGATGTTACTTGTCAATGAAAATTAAGGTTTAATAGCAGCCCTGGACACGAAAGCCAATATTGCACGAATCACTGCCAGTTCATTTAATATTAATTTGATATTTTTACAAGGTTATACAACCTTCGATACAGGTCCAGACATAGGACACCTTTTTCTTACATTTTCATTACAAAATTGCAAAAAAATATAATTTCAATTTCAGCAAGAAGCGTGGGTTTTACATTTTAGCTGAAAAATCCTCGTTCGTTCGATCCGGGCACTGAATTAAAGCAACACAGACACAAACAAACCATTTTTTGTCGTCGTTTTTTTTATTGGTGTTTGCCAGAGACTATGTTGCCATAACTACAGGGATTTTGTCCCTTTATTCAAATTAAATTATGTGTATTTTATTTTATAAATGAATATACTTACACCTAAAAATATATTTCTCGATGTATCGAAACCGGCAGCGTAAATCCTAGCGATTTTCGGATTGTTCCTTTCGCACAGTATCCTACAAGCGAACCTGGATATGGTACTCTGGCTCACTTTTACGTCACCAATTTTGTCGCCGGGTATCTTGTCCATTACGACAAAATCAATCGGGGCTTCCGAAGACCTACCTATCTGTGAATAGAGAAAATAAAACATTAAAGGATTAGCGTTAGATTAACACGTCCAGGAATTGGCCTCGTTTTTTTTTTTTTAAGGATTAGATTAATAGCGGGTTTCAAGGTTAATCGAATTTGGATTGAGAAAGTTATTTAGGCTTGCTAAACCTTGAATTAAAGTTTCATGAAGAAATAATTGACCAAAAAACATAGTAGAAGTTAGGGCTGGCCTTACAGTGGATTTGATTTTGCGAAAAAATAGAGTTAGTTCAAAGGAAAATTAGTTTTAACTCATTGCATGCCATGTGTGTATTGGGAAAATATCTCACGAGACCACACCTGTCTTAATTTTTATCAAAAAGTGGTTGATATGACAGATTATATTGTTTATAGTATTTTTTTGTTTGTTTTTAGCTTTTCTCGCCATTTTTTCTATGTCAGTCATACATGACTTACGTGGTCCTCCAGATTATTTTCATGGACTTAAACATGGAGGGGGCCACGTCAGTCAAATTTGCCCGATGATTTTGACCCATTGTTTCTATATATCTATCTATCTAAATAGATTGGCATATAAAAAAATAGTAAATAGCAATATTTGCTCAAACCAAATATACCGATATGTAAAGCACAGGTCACTCTTTAAAATCCCATAAGGAAATACAGGGTGTCCCACGGTGGATGGCGTATTAGACGTTTATGGAAAACTAAAAAGCGAATCATTTTGAAAGTTTGGCAACCGGGATAAACGACCATAATCTACACTTTAAAAATATTTTTGTTTATGCGGTGTTGCCGCTTCCAAGTTGTATAGTTGTATATATTTCAGACTTAAAACAGAGTTTCATAGCGTTATCAAAATCTTAGAACTAGGTTACAATCAATTACAATTACAATTAATAAAATACTATATCACTTAATGGGTATATCACATCTGTATAAAAAATTTTAAACATTATAAAAGGACAGTACTAAGTAACTATGAACGGTTAAGACTATTCAAAACAAGTTAAAAATCCAAATCTGTGACCTGATATTGCAAAAATTCTTCTATTGAATAAAAGCACTTACTTAACAAGAATTGCTTGATTTTATTTTTAAATGGCTTTATTGGAATGTTTCGTATCGTATGAGGCAGTTTGTTGAAAAATGCCGGTGCATAATATCGCGTTGCGCTCCAGGAGGTTTTTAAGCGTGAAAAGTCAATCTGCACGTTATAACGTTGGCGAGTGTTGTAATTATGGACCTCTTCGGCACGAGTGTAGTTTGAAGAGTTACTATGAAAATATAGTAGAGACTCTAGGATACCTATATTGTGCTGGAAGAGTTAATATTTTTAGGTCCCTAAAGGATGGTTTGACATCATCTCGGTATTTGATGCCAGCTACAATTCTAACTGCTCTTCTCTGCAGGCCAAAGATGCGAGAGGTATGACATGAGTGTCCCCATGCTAGGAGTCCATCATAGACGCTCACTGAATGAAATAGACCATAATATGCCATTTTTGATGTTTCTTTATCTACAATTTTCGATATATTACGAAGAACATAGATTGCGGAGCAAAGTTTTTTTGAAATAATGTTGACATGCTGCTCGAAAGTCAGCTTCGCATCCAATGTAACTCCTAAAAATTTGATTTTTTCTGGGTTGTCTTGAATTGTAGTTTTCTTGAGAGAAAAGATTTTGTTTTCTGTTTTACTTTGGTTGACATTCAGAAGATTGGAGTTGAACCAGTCAACAGCAGTTTCGACATGTCTCGTCATCTCCATTTTGGCAACATCCAGTGTTTTGGCTTTTATGGAGAGTCCATTATCGTCCGCGTAGATAACAACCTGGCATCCGGACAGGGCAGCTGCAAGGTCATTTATGTATATAAGGAACAACAGTGGGCCCAGTACCGATCCCTGAACCACACCGTGCCTCATGACTCTCTCCTCTGAGCGCCTACCCTCCAACTCCGTGATCTGCCTTCGTCCCGAGAGGTACCCAAATATCAAATTCACGCTGAATTCACAGAGCCTGTAGTATTTTAATTTTTCTATAAGGATATCATGTGATACACAGTCGAAGGCTTTGGAGAGGTCACAGAAGGTGGTGGACACAATCTGCCCCTCCTCAAAGCCCTCAACTATGCAATCACAGAGCTTTAGTATTGCCCCAGTGGTGGTTCTGCCCCTTCTAAACCCAAACTGCTCTTCTATGAATAAGTGGTTTCCCTCAAAGTACATGTAGAGTTGGTCCTTCAAGAGAACCTCAAGGATCTTGGAGAAGACGGAGATCAAAGAAATTGGTCTGTAATTTGATGGTGATGTTTTGTCTCCACTTTTGAAGATTGGCACAGTTTTACTAATTTTGAGCTCTTCAGGGTAAGCACCTTCTTGGATACATTTGTTGAAAATTTTTGCAAGCGGATAACAGAGAATCCCGCCATGTGCCTGTATTAGCACTACACTAAGGTCATAGAAGTCCTTGCTGTGCTTTTTTTTTTAAATTATTAAGAGCTTGAAGAACTTCGAGTGGGACTACACTGTGGAAAGAAAAGTGCAGGTTTGGGTCTCCTAGGTTACTGCTCTGCATATACAGAACTGGCGATGTGTCGACTGCTGGTAGATTATGAATGAGGTTTTCAGCTATGTCAGCAAAATAATCATTACATTCATTTGGGTCTATATTTGCATTTGCTTTAGAAGTGCTGTTTGGCATATATTTTTTTATTAGATTTCATGATGCTTTTGCAATGTTATCAGAATTACGGATATAATTTGAATTTGCTTGTTTTTTTGAGTTTTCTATTTCATTTCGGTACCTGTTCCTCAGTGTGTTTCTCTCTGTCCGCAGCACAGGACAGTCAGTTTCTGAGCACATTTCATTTAATGTGTTTAGCTCATGTCGCAGCATCTGTAGTTCCTCTCCAAACCACTCAGCTCCGGGTTCCTGGGTGCTTTTCTTTGGTCGTCTAGTCACTGGAAGTGCAATGTCTCGAAATGATAGAAATCTCTGAAAAAATTTGGTGGTACTCATTTCAGCATTGTCAGTTTCCAAGAATGACCAGGTTTCATCCTTCAGCAAGTCGCACATCTTTGCAATTCCTATTTTTGTTATGGGACGGTAAAGAGATTGGTCTATTTTTAGGTTTTCATTTTTTAAAATAGGGATGACATTTATTTCACATTCGATTGCCCCATCATGATCAGACAGACTTGGATTAAAAACATTTACTTTACATTCACACACATTTTCAAGATTTACAAAGATATTATCAAGACGATGGTTTTTACGTGTATTTACAAAGACTTTTTCCCTATAATCATATGATTCAGTGAGATCTAAGAATTTATGTTTAAGGTTATAGTCCCTCTCAAAATGTATGTTAAAATCGCCATTCAACACAACATATTTCTTTAGACTTAGACACACATCCAAAATACTATCTGTAACATTCAAAAATATATTAAAGTCTCCATTGGGTGGACGGTAAATAGTTAATAATAATAGGTTCAGTCTTTTTATCTCTGTGGCACTTACTTCGACATGTTCTGCTACTGACAGGCTTGTGACTTCATCATGTGTCTTCGTTTCCCATAGGGGGTTATACATGATTGTTGATCCACCATGTTTGCTGTTCTTCCGGCAAAAGGATGATCCCATTTTGTAATCCAGGATTTTGAGATGTTCTAGCTCGTCCTGCATCATGCAGTGCTCCGTGAAACACAGGACATCATATTTTGTTCTTGATTTTATGGTGGCTTCTATTTCTCCAATTTTGTTTCTGATAGAGCAAACATTTGCATAAAATATAGAGAAGATTTGTGTTTGTGGGTATGGATTTTGGTTTTGTTTTTGTTTTTTATATGCTTCTTGGTCTCGGGTTTGTGATTTTACAAGAAAAAATCACCTGATTCCTTTAAAAATTCTGTGTGTTTGGTAAAATTGAACCTTTTAATTCCCACAGAGTTTGGCCAGAAGTTGGTGTCGTAGAGTTCATCTTTTTTTGCAAGAGGGGCTACAACAACAAAGCATTTTTGCTTTTTTGGATCGCTAGGTAGTTCTTTTACTGCGATGTTTTCATTGGTGAAGCCTGGTTTAGATTTTATATAAGTGGTTACCATTTCTTCGGTGGTATGCCTCTTTATGCGATTTATATAGAGCCAAGCTCTTCGATCGCATCCCGAGAATCCATTTTTCTCATTTTCTGGTGTAACTTCTGCTTGTCCCAGCCGTTTTCTGTAGGTACGCCTTTGGTGCCTTTGGTATGAGAAGTTTTGTTTGTCTTCTTTATCCTGTTCAATTTGTGGTTTTGGAGGATCAGGAAATGCGGCCAGGTTTGTTGTATTAAAGGAGTGGCGGTTTCCCCTTGGAGAAATAACAATCCCATTATCTCCTTGATAGTCTCGAGAATGTCTGAAGGGGACATCCTTTTGGTGTGGTTTTTTGGTGGTTGAGGTTGCTGGGTGCTGTGGTCGAGGTGATTCAGGTTCAGTTCTATAGTTTATGTTGTTTTTGTTTGCTTTCTGATCAATCTTAAATTCTAACAGTTGTAGAGATTGCTTAGTTGTTTCTTTGATGTCATCCAGCTGCTGTTTCAGTTGGAGTACTTCGGAGTCGAGTCTAGAGATATCATCTTTTTTCGCTGCATCTTCCAGGTATTGTTTTATTTGTTGTTTTAAATCTTGATTGATTTTCTCTAGTTCTGACCTCTTCTTTTTTTCTTTGTTTTTCAGTGTACGTTCCTCTTCTAGCCTGGCATGTAAGGGCCATATTCTCCGTAGTTCATAAAGCCTGGCTTAGTGGAAAAGCTCGGCTTTGTCACACAAAAAGCCAAGTGCTTCCACTAAGCCAGGCTTTATGAACTACGGAGAATATGGCCCTAAGTTTTTGATTTCTTCTCTTAATTGGAGGATTATGTCCTCTGATTCTCTTCCCTGTGATGTCTGTTGTTTTTCTTTGCATTCAGCGCTGCAGATGCATGTTTTGTTATCAATTTTGATTCCGTTTTTAAAATCCCTTTCGAAACAG